AACGAGTAACGTTTGTTTTAAAAATGTAAGGAATAGAAAGTACAGATACTTGTGTGAAAATGTAATCAGTAGAAGTCAGAAGTAGGAAGAAAAATAAGTAATGGAATAAAGTATAGATACCTAAAAAGTGTACTTAAGTACAGTAATTAAGTATTTCTACTTTGCTACTTTACACCTCTGAAAATACCTAAAACACAGGGCTGCCAACTTTTCACCAGACCTTGGAGTGAGATTTTGACATAGTTTGGACAGGCAATCCTTGTCATGGTTCTTGTCACGATTAGCTGGTACAAGCAGCAAAAATTAAGCAGCAGACGCGATTTTGCTGCGTCCGGTGTGAATGTAGCATTGGGATTAAAAATCTTAACTCATTATCTTATTAAATTTTTTAAATTGAAAATTCAGACCTTCTATGAGGCTGTAGATTCTATAAACACTCACCATCACACAAGACAGCATTTCTGTGAATGTTGCATTTGGGTAGATGTGATGAAAGTTAAGTTTTTAAAAACATTTAATGGACCTAAATACATCGCTCTGGTTCCTCCTCTATCAATCTTGGATAACTGAGTTGTTGTGCACATTATCTATGTATGTGGTTAGTCTTTTCTTGGATGGCTGATCTTTTAAAAAATAAAATGCAATGGTTCTTTTCTGTTGTGGATCTATGGGTTTGTGAGGAATATCTGAAAGCTTTAAGAATTTATTTAGTCTATTGTTGATTTAATTAGTCTTAAAATCCAACAGGAGATAAGATTAAAATCAAATGGCATGCCTCGTAATAAATGCTAGAAAATCCCAGTCTTTTTTCAATATCCTACTCAGGTCAAGCTCTGCTGTTCTCAGCACAGTGAATGGGTGGGCTGCTGCTAAAATACGAACTGGATATGAGCCTAATATGTCCTGGTATGCTAGCACTAAGGTTGTGTTGAAAAAGCGGACTGGATTTTTATGAGCATGGTGTTTTTATATATAAATAAATGAAATGCAGTTGAGTTTTAACATCCCGTCATTTTTTTTGTGTGAGAAAATGGAGATAAGGAAAGAGAGTGTGAAGACACTGATATGCATGAGTCTCGCTACCAATGGGTAAAAGTTGACAGCCCTGAAAACACAATCTACTCAAGTAAACGTTTACTTTTTGCAAAATAAAATAAAAACTCAGATTATAGCAAATCAGAAGATACTTTTCACGCCTTTATTTGTTCTTTTTAGTCTTGAACTCAAACATAAGAGTAGAGGAAAATGAATTGTTTCAGCAATGGGTTTAAAACTAATGACGCTCTTTAACGAAAGAAATATGTTTTTATTAGCTTGATTGTTTTAAGTTCAAACTCACTTGTTGGGTGACGTTGACTTTAAAGTTGAAATACAAAGGTATCACACAAATATATTTATATGAATGCCAACAAAAACAAAAATGATAAAAACACTTTATAAAAACAACATAATTTAATGTACAGGTTTACCTTTTGTACAGAAATTTTGCTCTTCTGACCTTGAGAGAAGCAAATTTCTCATTGAGTCTATGGTGGAAGTCAGGGGTGGTTTTGATTAGTTTCTTCTCCATATAGAGCATAGCTAGGGCATTGAGACGATCCTGTAACATTGTGTTCCTGAGGAAGGTCTTGATCCTCTTCAGTGTTGAGAAGCACCTCTCAGATTCAGCAAAGTTCATGGGATTACATTTTTTACATTACATTTTTTATAAAACAAAAGTGTCAAAGGAAGCACTTTTTGAATGACTTTTGACTGATGGAGCAGCAAACTCCAAATTCAAGGCCTTCATGTCCATTTATATATATATATATATATATATATATATATATATATATATATATTATTATTTAGATAGATAGATAGATAGATAGATAGATAGATAGATAGATAGATAGATAGATAGATAGATAGATAGATAGATAGATAGATAGATAGATGAGAAAAGAACATAAAATGTTTATTAACTTATCGATTGTTTTAAACAAAGATTGCCATGTCAGTTGTTGACGAATATTACGCCCTCTGTGAAGTGGTAAGAAGTTATGTTGCCACTGTAGTCATCCTGGTTTCTTTTACATTATCAGCCTGAAAAAAGTGGAGAGGGTGAAGAATTATCTGCAGATATTGTGCAGGAAAACGTAAAAGGATAATATCATATCTCTTTACTACAACAAATAATTCTGGCCGAGGAGACATAACGGTGGAGAAATGGCCCGGTCCAGTATCCTTACAGCCCCCCCCCCCCCCCCCCCAGAATAGAACTTAACCCAGAATACTGCTGCCTTTGTCTTTACTGAAAATAAGAAAGGTGAGCAGCTTTGAAATGTGATGCAATTTAAATATGCTATAAAAAAAACTTGCCTTACCTGAAAATAGACGTACACACAGGTTCCTTCTCCTCCAAGTCAAAACAATTGTACTGACCACGATAAAAAGCAACAGAATAAAACAGTTGAAGTTTGCAAGTACATTCCAAAGGACAAACCTGGAATCACAACAAAATATATCTCTGAAAAATTTAATTGATTTATTTTTTCTGTTAGACATCAGCCATTATAAACACTCTTTAACAGCTTGCTAGCTCGTGTGGTAAGACTCCCACGCACAAGGACATCCTGGGTTTGAATCCTTGCTGGGGCGAATGAGCTCCCAGTGAGGGTCCATAGGGAATGCTAATGCCTACTTTGTAAGTTGCTCTGGATAAAAGTGTCTGCTAATGAATTAACATAAATTTGTATAAAGAGTGACGCAATTACGCAGAAACAACCACTGATTAATTGTGACTTGTCTACAGCTAAAAAGCAGTATTATCATAAAGCTATGTACATCTGTTTTAAAACTACCTTGATTTGTCTTGATAATGGCTCTATCCAGTATGGTTGTGACGTTATCTTTATTACTGGAGAACTGAAAGAGGCAGTCATATCTGTTCCAGTCTTCATCATTGATTAATGACACATTGAGATACACTGCCATCTGGAAGGTCCCATCATTGTTGGGGAGGATCTCTCCTTTCTCCACACCTTCATGGAGCTCTGCTCCATCTTTCCTCCAGAACATCAAGGCTCTTTCAGGATAGAAACCTGTAGCATGGCAGGTGACCACAGCTGAGGTAGTCTTCTGGAGGAGAGTTGCTGAGGGATGAACTGAAGACACAGGTCAATGGAAATGGCAGTTAAATTTTATAGATAGCAGTTGCTGTGTGCAATTACTATCTAAAAACCTACTATCTAAAAAAACAACTATAATTAAATATTTTTGTAGATCTAAACATAAGTAATTGTGTTCATAAGACATTTTTAAATATTATATACTGCATAGGTCCAGTAATATTACTGTATAGTGCGTGTTATCTAGTATTTAACACAAGATTATTTGGCTCCTGAAGTACTGTTTGTTAAAACACAACGATGACTTCAATAATATAGCACCATCATGAGCAGATGGGTAGGTTTTTATGTCCACCAAGATACTGCATGACATTTTATTATACCTGTTGTCTGTAAGGCAATTTTCCCATATTTTAAATACAGCTGAAGAAATTGTCTGCACTCTTCTGTCAGTGCATACTTCCAAAACAAGCTAGTTCCATCACTGTCCCAGTTGTGCTTGGTGATGACAGTCTGATGTCTAGGAGTGATCCATGTCATTGTTTTCAGGTCGAATCTTATGAGGTCTTCCCCATCATACCCGTATTCATTAAAAGCATCAAATTCTCCTGTTTCATTGTTCCAAAAACATCCATTCTTCCTTTGAAAAATGTGCACACCTAAAATAAAAAGAGGAAATGAAATGTTGAGATGTAACCATATCTTGTACAATGAGATCTCAGGGCATCAAACCCCCAAGATGTTTCTAATCAAAGAGATGTCAGTGTTGAAGACACTCCAGTTGAGCTATGATAGGTCCTTGATGAGATGACATGCTTTTATATTTAAGTTCAAGACTGGTATTGTAGCAAAATACATCTTGATTTTTCATGATGTGTCCCTGATAGAATTTGTTTATGGGAGAGTGTTAAAATACTTGGTCACACATTCATTGCAGAAACTTCATAACTTTTAAATGTTTGTATGGCAACCTTTTCTCTGGATATAAATGTTTATGCTGACAGATGGATAGACAAGATATTAACAAAACTGTTACCCATCAACTATACAAAAGGCTTTGGACTCTTGCATTATCTTTGGGGCTGAAGCATCTGGGATACTCGGCTGCATCTTGTTGGCAGCCCACCGGCTGGATCCTACCCTGTTCTCATAATCTTCCTTCATTAGATTTATGTGGTCACTAACCTGTGCTTCTCTCCTGCAGGTGTTTTCTGCCTCTGATGCCCTGGTCATTGCTACTTGTTTTTAAATAAACGTTTTTTTAATAATCCCACTATCTGTCTTGCCTAAATACTGGGTCCATCTGCTCTGAGTAATGACAGAATCCACACCTGAGTGCTTGTTTAGAGAGTCATATGGTGGGCCTTTGTGTAAGTGTTTAACAAAATATTTTACTTACCCTCCGATTGGTTAAAGCGCTGTTTCAAAGTTACTATTGTGGCTTTAAAGTCATAATAATTTAGCAAGCACTTGCTATTCAACCACTGCAAATGCTGGGGATGGTCTTGGAATAGTTTACTACCGGTAATCCAAGGTGTTCTGGGCTTTACATCGTTCAGGATGTTGTCACAGTACCCCACTTCAACACCATCCACTACTGCAGACGCCACGAAATCGGGAAGATCTGGGATTCCTGAAGTGGTATAAAGGATATACCACAGGGAATGTGGTTCTGTGAGAAAACAGTAATTCATACATCACAACGTGTAAACCAGTTGAGCCTTGCCCCCCCAACTGTTATTTCATAAAAAAAACTTGCAATTATTAATTGCTTTTTTATCCAATAGCCCTCATAAATTTGTACAGCCTACAAATTGAATATAATTTTACCAGAAATATACCATATACCATAACACATATTATCATATATGAATAAGCTGTCATGAGAAAAATCTTTTCAAAATTGAAGTGCTTATTTAACCTGTCAGGGGTTGACAACTTTTTCAAAAATTTATGACAATTGATTTTTTGTGTTTTTATTTTTATCTGGTGTGCAGGAGGTCAAACAAACATTCACTATGTTTCCTAATGCTGCAGAAAATTGTATAATAAATAAATTTAAACAACAAATGTAAACATTTCTGTCAACGAAGATTTATGTGATAGCCTGCAACACACGTTTCAGTCCGGCACTAAACCAGGCAGGTAGCTGTTTTAAACAACCAGGCGGGTTTGTCTTAGGCCATGGATCCCAAAAGGAAAGAAAATAGCTGATGAGAACAGAGGATTCAATTCAATTCAGTTTATTTATATAGCTTTAAGACACTACAGAAAATTAAAAACAGAGTGGGACTAGATTTACCTAACTTCCAAAACTACTACTTAGCAAATAGATTACAATACATCTCTAAATGGATAAAACAAAATCCCTTAGATGAGCCCTGGATAGACACAGAACAGGAAATATGCAGTAATATCATAATTTCAAATTTGCCATTTATTAGCTCTAATATCCAGCGGCATTCATTTTTTAAAAATATTACCATCAGCTCTTCCCTGACAGCATGGTGGGAATTTCTTAAAATGACAAAGTCACCACTTATCCCATGCAGTCGTACACCCATCTGGAACAACCCTGACATTCTACAAAATAATAAAATGATAAGCGTTCCGTACTGGAAGAATAAAGTTATTACATATCTGGATCATTCATTTGAAGGAATGAAGTGTATCACATTTGCTAGATTAAACTTGAAATATGGCATTAACAAAAATAAATTCTGTCGTGAGAAAAAAGTATTCAACTATTCACCTTGGTTAAATAAACAGAGATGATCATTTGTTCATATCTTTGCAAAGAGAGAACAGTTCATCATACAGCCCTTATGGCACAGCATTCTGCCCTGTTTTGCATGAGCAGCCTTCGTCCCCCTTACTTAGAACAATGGAAAAGTAGTCAGAATCAAAACAAATTACTGACATTTTGGTTAACAGTAACATGTTATGAATAAACCTTGAGAAAGAATCTGGTTTGTTATTGGAAGAAGCTATGTCTGGTCTACAAACACCATCCTGCAGAGAAATGTGTGGCCTTGAGAGAGAAACAGACTGCCGCTGAGTGGGTCCCGGGGTCTGGGGTCCCTGGGGTGCGTTGCCCTCGGGCAGGTGCCCCGGTTGGGTGCCGGGTGTTCGGGTTCTGTGGGGTATGCTGCTATGCGGCTGTCCAGCTCTGCCGTGGCCTCTGGTGTGCTTGGGGGCCTCAGGGCCTGTTGAGCTGATGGGGGGCTTGGACATTAACATCGTACGGCAGATGCTTACCCCTTCAGGGATTTGCACTCTGCTAATGGGGGAAGGGGAGTGAGGGAGAGAGGGAATGATCCTAGCCTCGATGTCTATTNGGATGTTAGAAGGGCTTCTGGCTCCCTGTCGCAGGCCTGGTCCTTGCCGGCCCATGGTGCGGGCTTCGTCCGGGACTGGCCGGCCATGGTTTGCTGCTTTTTTTTTTTTTTATGTACAGGATGCGGCGGCTGGCTCGTAGGCCCTGCCGCCTGTCCCTGGCGGTGCAACTGGTGGGGCCCCCCTCTCCGGGGGCCTTTTGGAGTCAGCGGGGAGCTGGGTCCCTGGTAGCGCAGTAAGCACCCGGACTCCTCCCTCTGCCTGCTCCATCACACTGCCACACATGTAAGCCCTTGGAGAGGGGGTCGTTACTGGAGGGTCCCACCTTCTGATGACGTCCCCCACCCCAATTCTATTTAGCATTTTAGGGGGGGGGGGGTATTATTTCATTGGTCTCTCCTCGGTTGGCTCCCCCGAGCCCCCTGGTTTGTTGATTTTGGGGGGTGCGCCGGCACCATCTGTCTTCCAGAGGAGGGTGTGGACTGTGCCGGACACCCCCATTTGGTACTTCCAGTTTTAATCACAACTGAACACTACATTTGAGCAGGCGCAAGGAGAATCAGGGTGTTCTCACACCTCTGTTCTTCTCTGTTCACCCGGAGTCTGGGGCCTGGAAGAAGAACGAGCCGCCTGGTCCGTGGTCTTGCCGGGGGGCTGCTGCGGGGACTGGGTGGCATGCCAGTGCCAGGGCTGTCATTTCTGCTGTACCCAAAGGGGTGTGGAGGAAGGGGCAAATAGTGAAATAAGGGGAGGAAGTGGCTGGGTGAATTGTTTGGGGTGGGGGGGCTCTGGTTGGGTGGCCTGTGCGGGGCATGTGGGCCCCATCCCCGGGGGGATCTGAACTGTTCCCTCTCCCAAGAGCATCTCAAGTCTCGGCCAAGTGCGGAGCCCATTCCCCCCATCCTGCTCTCCCTCCACTGGCTGGAGCTTGGGCTCGCCGGTGCACTGGTGGAGCTTGGTGTTTGGGGATGGATGCCCGGCTCTTCGGCTCTTCACAACCACTAATGAGCATTTTTCCTTTGGATAAACTTTACATGCACAAGTGCACTCTCAAAGGATTACAGGTGCTTGGTTCCAGGTACTTAGAGATTCAATTCCATACAAAAAGCCCTTATTCTTATCTTCAGCTACCACAGTATCTGTCATATGAAATAATACTACTTATACTTCAGCGATAGTATCAAGGAGTTGCACCATGTCCGTTGGTTGTGCTGTTCTTTTTACATCTCTTTGCAGGTGATGAAGCAGACTGAAAATGTTTTATGGTTATCTCCCTTTTATCTCCTTTTTCTTTCATCTTTTGTACTTTTTTTCTGTTTTTCCTTTCCTGTTCTACTTACACTGCAGTGTCCATATAATCTGTAACTCTCTGCATAATTATAATAACGCAATTTATATGCATAAATCAAGCGGAACACTATGGCAATAGCTGTACTGCTCCACTATTGAAAGTAAAATCTGTTGGCTTCTTTTTGGCATCAAGACAATTATTCTTATTGCCACATTACCAGACAGGACACTGATAAAAAATAAAGAAATAAAAAACTAACAAAAAATGCAGTCCTTCACACTAGGCATGCTTGTAGCCACAGTGGAGAGAAAACTCCCTTTTAACAGGAAAAAAACCTCCAGTAGAACCAGGCTCAGTGTGAACGGCCATCTGCCAAGGCCGACTGGGGTTCAAGGAGTCCGTTATTTGCCTTCATTGCTAATGTGGCAAGATTGCCTGCATGGTTGCTTTGTAATGAGAAGTCGTCAAAAAATAAAAAGAGTCACAAAGATGGATTAAAAAAGTGGATTGCCTCTCCAAACTCCATTACTGCTGATAGTTTTGTTTCAAGCATGGAACACCGTTCACTGATCAAACAGGTAGCAATCTTTTGCAAGTATGTGAATATTCTTCCACATTTCCCTAATATCCTCAAAATAACACCTCAATAAACTTCTCCCAATAGAAACTCATCCACCATAGAAAGATTCCTTTATTCTGTTTCTATAATTTCATCAATGCAACAAAAAATAGTACATACAAACCACGCAGTGTAGGAAGGTGAAGTGGCGAGCGGTGAACTCCACACGGTGAGAGCAGAGCGTTCACTGCTCCTCACTCACCTCATGCTACTATAAAATTAAAACTCAAAACACAGAATATCATACAGCAGAGTAGTCATATTATGTGACATTTAATTATGATAAACATTTAATCATTATTGCTTATTTTATATTTAAGCCCACAGAGTCTTTTTTTTTAATAGTGGGCTTATAATCTTAGAGCCGGTGTTGCCAGGCATACCAGGCTTATATAGGACTTTTACACTAAATTTATTTTATTTTTTTGTTGGTCCAGTATGGCTCTTTGAACAATTTGGGTTGCCGACCCCTGAACTATGTAAATGCGAAAACTGCCTTAAGAAGTGGGATCATTTCAGTAAAAGTGTTTTAATTGCAGATTAAATCTATGAAAGGTTTCCATGGCAAAACCATAAGGGATAAGAAGTAGGATAAAACTGAGTTAATGAGAGAAAATGAAAGTAATAAACTCACAGTTGAGTTGGTGTTAGCTTGCATGACTGGCTCCGTCATGCTGGTTTTCCTTCAGTATGCACTCCACAGGCGTCATGTCACGTGACTAAGAAAACGTAACGGGATTGGCTGGGTGTTGGACACCACAATCCATTGCTAATGTCTGTCACCTGAAGTAACCCCTTCCCTTTTTACACTGAATTTAGACGCCGAATTTAAGACGGTGAAATAGAGCCAGTTGAATCTCAGGAGGCTGAAAATATGGAGTTTGAATTTTGAAAGATTGCATTTTTTTTATATGCTGATTTTTTTAATACTGAAAAATTAAACTGAAAAATTAGTATTGAAAATGTAAT